ATCCTATTCCATCCCCCCTACCTCTTTCTCTTGGCTTTTCATCAAATCACCTGCCCTGTATCTGCACAGCGAGATGAGATGACCACAGCCCTGCCCTGTCTAAGGAGAAAAGACTCAACCATGTGACATCCCTGACAGGAACGTGAACCAGGATCTGAGCAACAGGTGCTGTGGTTAGCTTAACAGCCAAAGCATCCATTTGTGACTGACCAGCTGTCCAGTGTTCCAAAAACATCAACAAAAGCCATATTTCCCTCACCTTTTCCATTCCATCTCTCCTCCATCATCAATCTGCCTGTCCATTAGAAACAGGCAAAATGAGTACCATTTACACATCTGGACTGAGGGTAAAATTAACCCTTCACATCAAAAGGTTTGTTTTGAAAATAAGACTGATCTTCAAAAGGAGAGAGACTTTTTAAAGGCTTTGTTTGTTTTGCATAATCACTCAATTCCAGTTTTAGTATAAATGCTCGTTTTAATTTCTTGTGTTTGATCAATAAACTTTCAATTTGAGAATGAATGCTTTGGGGGGGTTGCCGAGGAGTGAAATAAAACCCAGGCCTCTAGAAGAAAACCCATGTACCTAAATATCACTGTTTTTAATGTTGGACAGTGAAAGAGTTTATAAACACCTTGAAATCAACACATCTCCCTGGTCCAGAGGCCATGGGATATTCTGTGGTGGGTCTCTCTGTCTGTCCTGCGGAAGCTGTTCCACGGGGGGAGAGCAGGGGAGAGAGTGAACATACTTTCTAGCTCTGAGGTAGGGCACTAAACCTGGGCCTCCCATGTTCCAGGTGAGTGGCCTAACTGCTGGACTACTAGATATAAGGGGGAGGAAGTGGTGCTGCCACTACCACCTGTTTTGTGAATGGTGCCTAAATCCCCTTGTGCATCTAGCCTGAAATATCAAAACGTTTTATGTTGGTAATATCAGAACGATTCATTTCAGCACATCGGCAGTTTTTTTCCCCCCATTTTGGCTGAAGCGGTCAGTCAAAATTAACATTAATTCACAAAACGTTTTGGTTGACCTGCAACTTTGGGAGGGACACTATCAAACCAACTGGTCTCTCCACTTTCTGCCCTTACATAGCATTTTGAACCTTCATACAGCATCTTAACCAGTGATTCTGTAATTTTGGGAAGCCCAGATTGTCCTCTTGCATAATGAATGCAGTTGAAGGCTTTGATGAAATCTCTGATGTTTAAGACTGAGCTTCTCTGGTAAGCAAGCCCTTTCTCAATTAAGCTAATAATGCAATGGGGATACAGCTACTCTGTGTGGCTTGAATGTTGTTTTGCAGTGTAGTCACTCTCAAACTCCTTCACGCTTGCTAATTGACACAGATTCTTGTCTGGGGGTTGTTTTTGTAACGATGACATTTTTTACATGGACAGGTAGTTAGTTTGACTCTCAACCATAGACCCACAGCTCCTTATTAGTTCTATGCAGATCAGGCCATGCTGTGTATCGGATTCTCTCATCTGTCACCCAAGGGGCACATCTGGTAGTTTAGGATGGCCCAAGTGAGAGAGTGGCTCCATAGTGAAATAACACTCAGTCAGCACAGAGTGACTTTATTAGCAGCGCGAAGTAGCTCTGTCCCTATTGTATTGTTAGCTCAAGCATTGGCAGCACTTGAGGCTCGACCCACCTCCATAATGGGCCAGCTGGCTCCTGTTCAAAGCACCACCAAATTCAAGCTAGAGAGGGTTGTGTGAATGGGAGTCAGGTTGGGGCAACACTTGAGTTATACCTCAAGATAACACTATAGTGAAGACAAGCTCCGAGAGAGGGAAGAAGTGGAAACACAGCACTGGATTTAGAATGTGTGGTTGCTGCCATTGTAAGCTTAAATGAGAAGGAAGTGCTGTGTGGCTTTTGTTTTCCCAAGCAGATAAACAGTAGGGGGATAAAGGGTTCAGTGAGAGAAACTTTGCTTCTGTCCTTTTTAACTTGCTCTACTACGGAGTAGCTTAAGTTATGGATGTTGACGGCAGGATTATAGTTTTCAGCAGGCTCAGTTTGTTGCTTGTCAAGAGAGACTAAGAAACTGGAAGGGATCCAGCAAAAGAATAATAAAGATGACTCTCTTCCTGCAACAGAATAGCAATGAGCTATTATACGAGAGACAAAGAGAATACAATTAATGTTTCCTGATCCATTAGTGGGATTAGGGAAATGTGATTGATTATCCTGCCTTGTATTATTTTTTTTATAATGTAAATGCAGATAAACAGATTAAATGGAAGAAAATCTTCAACCTCACATTGCATTGACAGTGGATAGTTACCTCTCAAAACTGTAAATTTGAAAGTCTGTCCAATGAAGTAGTGTGTATGCTTGTTACGGTGAAAGTTAGGGTCAGTTCTGCACTGCACCTGGATAGACATGCCTATAACTCTGATCCACAGCCTGTTGAAGTCAATGTGATTCTTTCGACTGTTGTCAGTTGCCTTTGCGTCACACCCTGGATGAGGAGTTGTCAGCAAGCTTTCAGCATTTTATCATTGCTAAAGGCACGTTGGCAAGTTGAGATCTTTCATTGCATATCTTGGGCACAATAAGGGAAAGAGCAGTTATAGGGCATCTCCTTGCTTTTGTAAGTTGGTCATAAACTTAGCGTGATAGTGGAGTTTAACTGTACTACTTGTGGAAATATAGTCATTAATTGGAGGGTCATTTACTTAACTTTTGGGATGTGTCTAGTCTAAAGTAATTTGCACTGATATAGCTACTCCAGTGTAAATGCTTAACACAGACACACTCTGCTGGTGCAATGTGCTCCAGTAGCTTACTGGGGTAAATTAGAATGGTACAAGCCTCATCTGGGACCACATTGGGAGTTTGCACTCCCTCATTGTAAATTAAACAGGTGGGGGGGGGGGGAGGGACAGAACAACCCAGTGTAGACAGAGCCTTAGTGGTTTGTGTGTGTGTTAAAATAATGGTGGTGATTATATACTTTCTCTCTCTTTAACAAAAGATGATTCACAGGCATGCCCTACCACTGTTCTCCATAATGTAATATTATTTCATCTGATCAGGATCAGATACAGAAGATTCCATTGCGAGTTCAGTAGCATTGATCACCTTTGGTAGTGTGTTTGCAGGGAATCCTAATCCTGTTAAAGTGTCCCTACATTTTTATTTGTTCTTATGAGTAATAGAGGAACCAAATTTATGGGAGGGGGAAATAGCGGAAAAATATACTGTGCTGTCGGAATGTCAAATGTTGGCTTCCTCTTGTATATAAAAAGGAGTTGGCAAATTGTTGGTGACCAAATAAGGGAGGCTTGTGCTGCCATCTTCACTAGATTGGAAAAACACCCGTCAGACTAAGGGTGTAGACTGGTTATTTTGTTGTCTCTTGTCAATGGAAAGACAGGGCAAGGCTCAGGAATGTCTTTGTTACATGTGGGGTTTTTTTTGTTTTTGTTTTTAATATTTAACAATACGGACAACTCCTGAATCCTGTGGCTTTTTTCATGACCTTTTCTTACGTGACAGGTTCCATTGTGTTCATAAGTCATTCAAACGTCCAAAAGTTACATAAAACTCTCCCAAAGGGTAGGGTGGGGTGGGGGTGGGTGGAGAGGAAGTTACTGGTAAAATTTAAAATTAGGGAGAGTGTTTGGAATCCTTGTAGGAATAAGGAAAAATATCCTCTTACCTGATACTAATCCCTTTATTTATTAAAATATCCTTTTAATATCCAAACTAGGAGATATATAATTAGACTCAATCATTAAAACCTCTTTCAGTGCTTCTCTTGTAAAGCTAGCTACTGTACATACTATAGGGTGAAAGATGTAACTTACTTTTCAGGATGCATCTCTGAGTTGGCGACACTGGCACCCAGGAATGAAGTGTTACCCTGACTGTACCCTATTCTATGGTTAACAGAAGTAAGACTATCCCAAATGGGCTCTGATTCACTTTGTCCAACTCCATTAAAGTCAATGGGATTACACAGGCTGTAAGGCAGTTCAGGATTGGAACTAGTGGGCCAGGTTGTGATCTCAGTTACGCTCTTCAGGGAACAGGCAGCTCTCAGGATGAGGGTGCTGAAACTACATACCCATCCATTATTTGTCTCTTGGTGTATTGAACGTTCTAATTCCAGTGGTGGATTTGTGGTGTGGACAGGTAGGCCCCAAACAAAGACCAACAATTCTTTTCACACAGACCATTGTATAGCCATAATATTCCCCACCCTCTTGGGATTACTTGATCTTATAATTGACACTTAAAAATATTATTCTCATTGTTTTAATTAGTACTGACGTAGTCGTAACAATAGTGTAAACACTGCTCCATATGTGCAGATGGAATTTCCATATGTTGTGTGAAACTTTAAAAGCATTAACACACGAAATTGTGTGCTAGGGGAATTGAGGGCTGGGATTCAGGATGCTTGCAGAAGGAAAACAGCTAATATCCAAGACTCTCAAAATATGACTCACTCTCTCACTTATAGGTATAACCTGTGTTACAACCAAACATCAAAATTTGGAATAAGATTTTCACTGTGCTTATCATTTTACAGCAGTAGTGATTACTGTGGGTCATGCATTACCTAGTCATGTTTCACAACAAAACCTCCTATTTATAGGTCCGATTGTGATACCTTGATCCTGAAGTCAATGGGAACAGGATCATTCCTATCCTTTATAGTGCCATTTACCCCAAGTAGTCCCACTGAGTTCCTGGGAACTATTTGTGGAGTAAGGCACTACTTGATGTGAGTAAGGGGATTATGAAGCGCCTCTGTGTGAGGGCGTCTGACTGTTACTCTTCCATATACAAACATTAAAAACAAGGCCATATTGCAAAAAGATTGCATTGGGGATTGTTTTTAAAAGGATTTGCTTTCCCAGCTTACGTAGGTTTGCAATAAGTGCCCCACCTTGCTTCCTTCAGCTGCTTTCAATGCAGTAGAATGTTTCCCTTTCCTGTGTGATGCCTTTTTTCGTCTGTTCCGTTTCCACAGCAATCAGGACTTTATGAGTATAAAATCTTTGGTGGCCTTGCCGATTGTCCCCCAGAGTTGCTTGCAGATGTCTATATGGATTTAGACTACAGAAAACAATGGGATCAATATGTTAAAGGTTAGTAAATAATCAAATTAATTTTTAAAAGTTTAAAAATAAGCTTTATCTTTAACTCTCTTCTCCCCCCCCCACCCCCCGCCACCCTCCAGGAAGGCATTCTAAAATTTCTCTCTTCTCCTAGGGCCACATTCCCCAAAGGACTTGAGGCATTTTCAGGTGCTCAGCATTTACAATTGAGGACAGATTATCAAAAGCACTCATCCCCTCAACATGCACCCAATGTTATACCAATAAGTAAAAATGTGGCATATGACAGATAAATTCTTGCCTAGTCACAGCCAAACTTCAAATATCAAGAGAGAACACACCGCAGCATCAGTCCTTGCCACTCTGAAGTACTTACATGGCCCTCATTACCACAGGATCCAAGTGCCTAACCATTGCAAGTGTCTTTATCCTCACAGCACCCAGGGAGGTGGAAGTGGTATTATTCCCATTTTACAGGTGGGCAAAACTCAGGCACAAAGAGGCTAAGTGACTTGCCTAAGGTGGCAGAAGAAGTCTGAGAAGAGTTGAACCCAGGGCTCCTAAGGGGTTGGTTGGCACCTAAACCATTACTCTGCACTAGCAATGGGGGAACATCTTCCTTTTGAAGTGCTCTTTCCCTGGTGATACTGTCCCCAGAAAGCCTGAGTGACAGTGCTGATGCTCACATTCTCATCCATCTGCGTTGTCGCTTGGAGGCTGGGTCAGCACAAACTTTGAACTATAATTTTTAATTTACAATCTTTAGAAACATTAGATGGCCTAACTGACATCAGATGCTCAGAATAGCGGTCAATTCGGTGGTAGTTTTGGGGGCCTGTTTGGCAGTGGTGAGGTCAGGGTTGGCTGTCATATGCCCCACTTTTATTTATGTCTTTGTTTTGGGGGAGGAGGCATTGGCAACCATCCTACCTTCTTGGGTGCTTACAAAAATAGTGACCATCCAACTGAAAAACCTAGAACACCTACAATGGCCTCCCCAGAAATAACAGTACACCTGACCACCTCCAAAACAATAACACTTCAGCCATCGTTATCCACACAACAAACTCCCATGCCCTCAACACATCTAGTTCTGCAAACACCTGGAGGAAGTGGAGGGAGGGTGAGTGGAATTTGCAGTGTCTGGAAGACTAACCGACCTGGACTCTAGAGGGGCGAGGACTCAAGCACATGCTTACACTGAAGTCAATAGAACTTAAGCACATGCATGAAGTATTTTCCTGAATAGGGGCCCAGAGGAGCAAGTTCGAAAGCCAAGGAAAATCCTGCCAGATGCCCTCACTTGTTTTTAAACTGGGGGGGCTCTAGCCTGAATGGCTCTGTTGATTGCACCTTGGGCAGTATTGTGGAGAGCTGCTTAACCTATGGAAAACGAGGTGTTGATCTAAGTCAGCCTGTAGCTTCACTAGTAGAATAGGTGTGAGCTAACACATGATAGCTATTTCACTGTAAAAGGCACTCACCTTTTCTACTAGCAAAGACATACCCAAAAGAAGCTTAAAGTGGAACCTTAATTCGTGCACAGTATTGTACACGAAGACACAGCAAGCTATCGTTCTAATTTTTCCATTTAAATGACTTTATCAGATTCTGGTTTGTAAAACACTTAGCAAGGCAACTACAACCTACAGTGTCTGAAGTCAACATGCTGATATCTTTTTATAATGCCTTTTTTATTCTAAGAGAATAGAAAGGAAGCAGTTGGGAAGTTACACCCTTTAAATTCTAAAATGTAGATAATGTTGCAAGGTTGGCCTCTACACCCTCATTGACTAGGGAAAAAGTCTGGCTCCCTGAACCGTATCCAGAACTTGTGTATGTTTGAAACAACGATTTGATACAAGTCTGAGAATTGCTGTCTTAATGGTATTTCATACTCCAAGGTTGGATGAGTTAACTCCCTGTTGGCAGAAGGCTTACTCTAGTACTACTTTTAAAAATACTCTGGATAGATAGCAGAAAACTGGAGCCATTAAATATGCCCTTTGTTTCAAGGGGTGCTAATGCTGATATCAGTGACGCCTTAAATGTCGACACTCTTAACAATTTTACTGCTCATCGAAGCATGTAAGAAAGCAAGCACCATATTATGAAGACTTACACAATCTATTCTGAGTGATAGCTCATTTTTTGGCTAAGTCTTTAACAACACATGGGAGGGTTGAAGGTGGTTTTGCTTTCCTGAAAAGTGGGCTGAGCTTTCAAAAGACTGGGATACACAGAGCATGCATTGCTACGTTGGGTCTGATTTGAGGCCTCATCCTACAGTGATCTCCATCTCAACATCAAGACTTTGGACTATAAGCTGTAGATTTGTCTTTGTCTATAAAGGACCACACACTCCGATGGCGCAGTGTAATAATTCACATGTTCATGGCTCATATACAAAAATCAGCCATTCTTCACTACGGCACTTTATTAAAATTTTGCAGTGAAACGAGGTCCATTACCAACATGTCCCCGCTTTAGCAAGCTGAACTCCCCTCTGTTTACGTTCTGTATTATAAATAAAACTGAACAGTACTGTGGACTAAGCGAAGTACATTTTGTAATATAGCCTTGGTGGGTTTTTATTTTTATTTTTTGTTTGGAAAAAAAAATGGAATGCAGCATCTTAGCAAGTGTGCAATTTTCAGCATAATAATGTATCTCTTGGGCTCTTCAGAATGGATTATTGAAGTTCTGTTTGGTCATTCTGTCCAATGCCAGCTGTGCTTGGCCAGCTTTGACCAGCCTGTCCTCTGGAATAGATAGACTGAAAGGGAGCACGTGTGTATATGGCTTTCGTAAGTACCATTGTGCGATGCTTAACTCTTAGGAAAGAAACACAGCAAGCTTTAAAATAATCTCTCCAGGTATTTGAACGCAGATCTCAAATTGACACCTCTTTTGAAAAAGAGGGGGACTCACTTGTTAGCATTTTAGCTAAGACAAATTCAACTAAAGCAATAGTTAAAAGGCAACAAATTAATACTCCAGTGACCTCTGGTGGAAAAAACGAGACTGTGTGGTTTGTCGTTGCATTGCGGGGACTGCAGCATACTGTGTGCCCCTCTTAAATGTTAGTGAAATTGCAAGTGGGCTGAGGAATGGAAATGGGATTTTTTGTGTGAGATACCTGGTCCATACATATGCACTGGGTGTAGTGGTAATTCTACTCTTTTTAGATGCACCATTACCCCCTTCCTCTTTCATTTTCTTTCCCATATGAAATCCACCCTCCCCGTCCCCTGTGGCACTGTTCTTTGTTCATTTGGAAGGGTAAATGCATGGTTTTTCCTCCTGTGCTACTTTCAAAGCCATTTTGCAAACAGGCCCAAGAAGCTGTGCATGAGCATGACACTTCAGTCTTGCAATATCTGTATCTATCATTCAAACACTACCTTGGCTTGGGAGTGGGAGTTCCTAGGAGACAGCTGAATGGTTCCAGCATGAAAAATTATACCGGATGCTTCTTTTGATATGAGAACACACAAGTGTCTTAACCCTGTTGGTGCTAACTCACTGGCACTGTTAACGTCCATGGGCACAATCCGGCCACATGCAACTTACACTGACGGCTCTTTGTGTGTCCTTCATCTTGTCTTTTTCAGCGGCATCAGCGGACATGGTTGCCTTCCTGGTCAGATAGGAAATGCCATCCTGGCTCACACCCAGGATCCTTGTAGTCCAGTCTCCTGCCTTTGACAATGGCCAGTATTGGCTGCATCAGAAGAAAACCCTACAGTGGACAGTGGGGGGAGGGGGGGAGAGGATAACTTACTCCATGGAAAGCTTCCTTCTAACCTCCAATTATTAGAGTTTGGCTTAAGCTCCCTCACTCTCTCCTTCCCGCTACTATCTTCCCATCTGATCTCCTTAGTGAGTCATCTTGTCCCTTGAACTCTGATTCTGTTCCCAGGCTCTCCCACTCGGACTGCCTCCTATTTCAGCTTCCAGTATGCAGAGCAAACGTTGGCGCCTGTTGGTAACTCTGGAACAGAGTTAACTTATCACTTGCCAATGAATGACAAAAATGGTATTTTTAAAAGAGTAACTTCTTTCCTCTCCCCCTTTTCGTTCCCTTCCCCCTCCCCCCCGCCAGTTTTGCTCATCGCTCGCTTTAATTGGGAGTCTTTTTCATACTTGCCACATGTCCTAATTCCATGCTAGATTGGACTGGCTCTCAAGGATATAAGGTGATTACCTGTTTTGTTTCAAATGCATGTTCAGCAACAGAGCTGTTCTGAATTTCTAGCTACAGAATGTGCATTAAAAGGAACATATGCTTATGCACAGGTTTACCCAAAAGGTGGGACAAGCTTTGAATGAATTAACACTCTGGGAGGGAGTTTGATTCATTCCTGAATGGAACTGTCTACAGTAGAAACAAACTTTTTCTCTTGACCTGGCTTAACTAGACCTAGCATATCCTGGTATAACTGCACTGAGATGCAACTAGATTTTTAAATTCTTGCCACTGCTAGTCTAAGCAGTGTTTTGGTATTACATATGTATAAATGTTGCAGCTGGAATTAACTCCGTGATGGCCAACACTTTTTTCCCCCCTTTGCCAATTGTAGAGCTGAGTGAGAAGATTTATGATGGGAAGAGAATAATCTACTGGGAAGTGAAGTACCCTTTCCCTTTGTCAAACAGAGATGTATCCTTTCAAACCTTTGTCTTGGTGGCAAAGCAATTTATTCACGAGTCCAGATGCAGGCAGCTGTAAGAGGTTTTTGCTTGTCTGTTACTGTGGGAGTTGAAGTGTAGAAGAGCCAAACCCGAGAAGAGAACGAAGGGTTTAAAAGCTTGATCCTGCAGTCCTTATTTGTGCTTGTGCAACGTGAATCACTCACCTGGGTATCATGTTGACTTCAATGAAATGCATGTTTGAGGGCGAGAGTCTGCAGGATCAGACCCTACAATAATGCAAACGCTAATATTCATTTAATAGACCGAGGTGAAACGTGGATTGAAACAGGTCAGGGACTGGGTGGTTGTTGTTGTTGTGTTCAGTGTCTGTCACGATGGGGCTGCTGGGTGCTACTGTAATACAAGTTAATAATAATATTATGAAACCGATCATAGTTGTATAAGAACATAATGGCCACACTGGGTCAGACCAATGGTCCATTAGCCCAGTATCCTGTCTTTCAACAGTGGCTAGTGCCAGATGTTTCAGAGGGAGTGAACAGAACAGAGCAATTTATTGAGTGATCAACCCCATGTCCTCCAATCCCAGCTTCTAGCAGTCAGGGGTTTAGGGACACCCAGAGCATGGAGTTGTATATATGACTATCTTGGCTAATAGCCACTGATGGACCTATCCTCCATGGATTTATGTATTTTTTTGAACCCAGTTATACTTTTTTTTTTTTTAATCTTTCTTAACTTGCAATACAGTATGTGTATATTCGTGAACGTCGTGATATGGAGGTTGATGGGCAGAAGGTCTGGGTTATGCTGGCTAAAAGTGTGTCTCTTCCTCAGTGTCCAGAAAAACCTGGGATTATCAGAGTAAATAGTTATGTGCAAAGTCTGGTGCTTGAGAGTGATGGCAAGACTGGATCCAAAGGTAAGAAATATCACTTATTGCAGTTAAGTAAAGTAGAGCAAGCTTTCAAATTTTATTCTGCATTTATTAAGAAAATGAAATGTAAAATCTCAGATACCATCAAAGCAGGAGAGGCTAAGGACTTGAAGATGCATGCAAAGGATATGGTAAAGATGTATATCAAGAGTTCTATAATCTGTGAATATCCATTGTGAAAGAAGCATGTCTGTGAAAGTTACATTGGACTTCATGTGTTAGGTAACACCACTGTCGCTCTAATAGGACTTGCACAATTAAGAATGGTCCAATCAGTCATTTCCCTTCACTAAATGGAGAACAGATGTCATTCATTTGAACTTTGGATATTGGTTATTATATTATGATCATTGATAGTAAATGGAAAGTGGGTAACCCAGTGAACACTTCATTCGTTGAAAAGTCACCTTTGAATCTCTGTGGACCTGATTTTGAAGTTGTTATAAATAGACTGAAGGATGTTTTGGGACAAAGTTGATTGTTAAGAAAAAAACGTTTTATTAGGTAACGATGTGTGTATGTAACATAGGGCTAAATCCTGCATTCCATAGTCGGGCAAAAACTGTGGTTTGTAATCAATGTAGCTGGAGCCAAGCAAGTAAACTGCTAATTATTATGTTATAATAAACTCTATTCCCTTCAATTTCTGTCTCCCTTTAAGTTTACATGTATTACTTTGATAATCCTGGTGGCATGATTCCGTCATGGCTCATTAACTGGGCAGCCAAGGTAAGCAGGAGGCAATATCTTCCTTTGTGCTGTCTAACTTGTTTCTGAGAATCCACCCACTGGATCCAAATCTGGCCTCCATAAATCAGACACGATCAGCCAATCTTCATCTGAAGTCTTCCCTCTTGGCCACTCTACTATCTTGTCTTTCAGGCCTCCATTCTGATAGCCGTCTCTTCTTTTACTGTCTCTTTAACTGTTCCTTCCCCCACACCTCAAGAAAGCTCACTCTTGATGCTAAACTCATCAGAGTTGTTTCTGCACCACTGTGGACAGACACCCTCATGTTTCAAAGTACGAGCAGACAGATTTAGTAACGTTTGCAAACTCCTGAAATACAGTTTGATGTTCTAAGAACAAATACCGAATTTACTGCTTTGTAGTTAAATTTAATCTTTTTGTTGGAAGCACTGTCTTCTGTTATCTCTTGAAATATTTGTAGTGTAAAATGGCGTCTATATACAGCTTTTGTCTGCAGTGTCTTTGACCAGCATCATCAGAAAATAACCACTGTACACCTTTTTTTTTTTTCCCCCCAACAGAGTGGAGTACCTGCTTTCCTCAAAGACCTGCAGAAGGCTTGCCTTAATTATTGCAAGAAAACCTGAGTTGCTGCTTCGAGTCTGTCTCTCTGAATTGTTTGATTTGATTCCCAAAATTGGATGCTTCCAAGGACTACTATTGTGAAAAAATCGTTGGATGAATTTACCTCCTGAGATCTACTACTCCATTATAATTAGGTTCCATTGGCATATGCCTTCAAAGTTGTCGAGCCTTTATTTTTTCATTTGCCATCTGTTGTGCTCTTCAGCTAGATAGCTGGCCATCCTTGCTTCAACTGCTGATGCAATTATTACCTGCTTTTCAAATGGTTTCCTTCCTTTTTATCCCATTTCCCGCCTCTCCTCCCCCCTGCTCATATTCTGTATGCTTTCTACCATAGGTCCATTAGGGGAACTCTGGCTTATGTTAAATCTTCAACAGAGAGTAGAGCCTGTTACTCCTTGTTGGAGGAGAATACTCTAAAATGGCAGCTTTTTAAAGTAAATTTTGATTCTTGTGGTGAATCGGGTTTCTGTACACATTAGGTAACCAGTTCTGGCAGGCGTTGCCTTGCTAATAAAGTCCTTCTGCCAAAACTGGATGCCTCTTGAAGGCACTCTCAAGTCTAATGCAGTGGATACTTTCCATGATCTTAAGTATGTTTCTTTATCCCTCCTTTTCCTAAATTTTATCCTGTATTTATTCGGAGCTGAGATTCATTGATCAGAAATGTCTGGCCAGTGAGCAGGATGTGCACGTGGAGGATATTTGCTATGTGTTGATAAATAATCTGCCGCCCGCACTGGGACTCCTGCTATTACAGGGTATAATTAAGAGTTTTGCTATGATCAAGTCTTTCAATTGCATTTAAACAGGCATTTGGCTAAGTCCCAATACTGGCATCTTTGCCTCTATCATGTCTAATAGTTTGTACCTACCATGCTTTTGACACATCCACTTAGTTGAGGGGAGGCTGGAAGAGACGTACATGTAATAAGTAAAGTTATAATGAAATAAGACCGAATGAGTCAGTTCCTTGTTCTGCTCTAATGACAACCAATTAGCGTACTAAAAGCCTATCAAGCCCTTACCTGGAAGAGTTCTGTGAGGAAACACAGCTCAGATATCAACTATAACTTAAAATCCTTTTAGGACTGTCCCAATATCAGATGTTATCAGGGGATCTCCTAAATGTCATGCTGGGGACTAATGTTAAGGTTCTGCTTCCTCATTCTTGATCCTGACATGGAGATCAATGGCTGTCTTAAGGCTAGCTCATGTTTCCAAGTCTGATACAAGGAGAGAAGGCCAAGAACCAAACTTTCCAGCTGATACTATAACTTAAGAAATCCCAGTAAAAGAGGGGAAAAAAAATCACATGCAGCACCTCCATGTGGGTGTGTCTGTGTGGGGGAGAATATTGAGGGAAAACACTTTCACAAAGGTGATGCTCTCAGGGACATAGCCCATGCTGTTAATGTAGCCAGACGCACAGCCTTCGGTGGAATGGCAAAGCTTCTCCGTAACTAACCAGATCTATCAGCATTTCTGTATATATAAAAGTCATGATATAAATTATTTGCCTTTATACCTTATGTGCTCTGAATGGTAGTTGGTTGATGAATTAAAAACGAAACCTTGCGATTACAGATTTGTACGAGTAGCTTTTTTTTTAAAAATCTTTGCTATAAAGTTTTTGCTCCTTAATGGTTTGCACATGTAGCCATATTAATGCTGTCTAATGGGCATGGCAGATCATCAATTGCACTTCAGCATGAACACTGACTTTTTTTGAAAGGCGTGAGTAAATTGATTAATCTGCTTGATTTTTTTTAAAAAACCGTAAACCGTAATCCTTATCAGCTATGACTTCAGATACTTCTCCACTAGACGAAGCTGAAAATGCCATAATATAAAATATATTGGAACTGATTCTCAGGTGCTGTAAAGCAGCAAATTTATCCCAGCTGAGAATCTGTCCCTGGTTTTGTAAACAGTTACTCCATCAGTCTAACTGGTGCCTTTGATACATTTTGTTTTGCAAGTTAACAGGCTTGAAGGTTATTCAGACACACGTGGCATCATATAGCGAAGTTCACTTCTCTCTCTAGACTTAAGTCAGTGCAGATACACTAGTAACTAATTTGACCCACTGATAGGAATATTGATCCAGTTTTGATTGGGCTTTCTCTGCCCTGTGCTGATTGGCTGCTTTGCTCTAATCCTCTCCCTCCACCTCCCTCACAGTCGCTTCACTTCACACAAGCCCCTCTCACCCCATATTTCTCCTACCCTGGCCCCCTCAGCCTCCTTCCCTTTTTTCCATTCAGCTTATCCCTACCCAAGTGAACCCACCCAAAAATCAGACTAACGTGATGTTTTCCAGCCTCCTATTGTTCACTCGGCTTGTTCGTTCTGCCCATTTCTCTCCCACCCTGAATTTGTCTTGTCTATTTAGAGTGTAAGTTTTTCACAGCAGGGACTGTCTGCTATGTGTCTGTACAGTGCCTAGCACAATGGGGTCCCATTCTTGGTTGGCGCTTAGGCCCCACCATAATAAATATGATGTTGCATGACTGAAATTCTGTGCTGGGCCTCTGAGAGGCCCAGCACAGGGACATGGACAAAGGTGGCTGTAAACCACCTCTGTGCCCTCAATGGAGCGTATGGAAGCTCTGGAGGCCACTAGTTAATTTTTTCCACCTTTTTGGTAACTATAACATAGGTAAAATGCAGCATTTTGATCTCATTAAAACATCATTCACTTTGCATTATATTACTCAAACTATCTGAATCAGTCACATGATTATAGGAGAGCATCAGCCTTATTTTCATTTACAGATACAATTTGCTGCATACAATGACTTATACTCCAGGAATTAATTTTGCAAAAAATCTTTGCATACAGTGGTACAACTAGTAAAAATAAATAAATAAATCACAAGATAAGGGCTTGAGGCAGGAATTCCGTGGTGAAATTCTATGGCCTGGGTTTTTATCCAAGTCAGACTAAATGATGAGGTAATGGTCTCTTCTGGCCTTAATCACAGATTCATAGAATTTAATTTATAATGAACTGAAACTTTCCCTGGTCGTCTTACAAAGAGTCAAGGAGGAAACTGGTGAGATCCTATATATTTATCTCTGGTGGCACTTCAGTAACTGTATAACATGATGATTAGGAGCCTAAATAACACATAAGAAATCTCCTCTAGTTCTTCAGACTGTATCTCAGTGTGCTTCATGCATACTGCAGGAGGCTTTGAAATAAACAATTTACTCATAGCACTGCTGTAAGGAGAAAACAGCATTGTCTGAGTTTTGCTTTAGGTTTTTACAGAACGGTGTGTGTGGGGAGGGGGGTGGGGGGGTGGGAAGCGTATTAATTTAAAATGCTGCTGCCTTCAAAACTGTTGCTTCATTTCAAATGTTGCTAAGTACTTTACTTTTTCCTTCCCTATGTATGGTAATCAGTGGTGTGTTTTATTAATGTGTGCCTTATTTGTGATGTGTACGTAACATAGGAAAGTGGTTAAGACATTTAAAGGGTCTATGCTGTTGTGTGCATAACTTTGGAATATTCAATTTACCCTTTGAAATCAGATCTCTGGATCATTTAGCCTCAATCTTGCTTCTGGATGGGGCCAATAGCTTTGTCTTCAGAGGAAGATTTAAAACAAAAACAAAAACAAACCATAATGCATCTAGCACTGAGCAATTCTGCACAATAAAGTCCTTCCCCTTGCAGAAAACTATCTTTCATTGAAGCATAAGACTTGATTACCCTTATTATCCAGGCTTGACCTGTTCCCAATGGTATTTAAAGGTCATACAATTTCTGAGTCCTTTTAAAATCCACAGTATGTCTCTACCTCCGGTGTCGCTAAATTTCACAGCTTGACTGTTCAGTTCATAAAGCACTAAACCTTTTATTCCCTTTAATTTTTATCAAGTGTCCCCTTGTTCCCGCATTATGTAACAAGGTCTATGAAAGGCGGTGATACACTTCAGTATACCTTTGTCTCCAGTGATCGCTGTGCATGCAAATAGACAGAACGGCCCTTAGTGTCTGCAAGGTTGTTTCCTGCTAAAACAATGTACTATGCTGCTGATTGTGTTCATCTGTTTTCTAGAGAGATTTAATTTCCACACTCCATCCTTTATATTATTTCCTCAGGCTTGTAGCTTTTCTACATTTTTCCTCTGGTTCTAAGGTAATGAAGTGAAATAAATACTTCATGAAAGAGAAGGGTCATTTGACACTTCTGTACCTATTGTAGCAAACAGTGGGTGTTTGACAGAGAAACCTGGGTTCTAGTGTAGGTGTTCTCCAACCTCCTCTGCAATTTCAGTTACATAATTCCCATAATGAGACCATGTACTAAGGTATTAAATGCACAGCGGTGGTGTGGTCTTAATAAATTGTTCAAAAGCAAGCTTAGGAAAGCCAGGAACTCCAAAGAGAAGGCTGATTTGGAGTGTTCACTCAGGTCTTTCTGTTCTGGTTAGCAAGGGGAGTACACATCTACGGGCTTTAAATAAAAAAAAAAATAGAGAGAACTGGCTGCCTGTTGTGCCCAATTGCTGCTATGATGGCTGTGGAGCTGCTCTGCCGTGTCTAAATACTGTGTGTTGAGCTGGTTATTGGGACATTTACTGCATGAATCTATTGAATTAGCTTAATACAGGGTCTGCAAGGAAAAACACGCAGGAAGTGAATGGCTCAAGATAGCCGCCTCTCAGCAAATACATGAGGGATATTCAGGGACAATGGCAGAGCCATTGGCTTTGAGGCCTCTGGCTTGGCCTCTTGCTGAGTATCCAGGACTGGTTTTGCCCAGGACCATAGAATAACAGATACTATAGCAGTTTAAAAAGGAGCTCTCTCTTGGGAGGGAGAAAAGAGGTTGGGGAACCAGGCTGAGAGAGAGGCATCTGCTGGGGCATCTGAAGAAGTTAGGCCTGCCTAGGTTACCATCAGGGGATGATCAGCTTTTTAGTAAGATAAGTCTGTGTTTGTCTTTTGTTTTGTTTTTTAAAACATCCTCTCCATGCTTTGTTCCTACTGCTAAAATAACCAATACTTTGGTTTTAAGATGGCTGGGTGGTCACTGTCGCAGATTCCCGAAGGGAAGAACTGCAGAGGTCTGAGCTCAGTTGGACCTGTTGGGTGAACATAATTGATCCACAGGGTGCAGCAGCCCAGGGTCCGGTCGAGGAGTGGGGGAATTGTGGAATTCCACCCCAGGAGAAGGATAGGCTGCAGGGTTGACATAAATGGGCAGAGGTGCAGCTAGCCCTCTAGCTGTGGCAAGAGGTATTGCATGCACAAGTGCATCCGTAAATGTAGGTGTAACATAGGGTATGTCTGCACGGCAATTGAAGGCGTGACTACTGCTCCAGTAGGCCTGCTAGAGCTTGCTTTAATCTAGTTAGCACACTAATAAATAGTAGTGAAGATGGAGCGGCACAGGTTACCAATGTGCATAAGTACCAGAGTTCCCAGTGGGCTTGTACAGTCCATGCTGCTGCATGTTCACTCTGATTTTGAGCAGGAGATTGCCGCTCAGGCAGGCATACCCACCCTAGAATTAATCACACCTCTGACTGCAGTGTAGACACACCCTTAGGTCCGCATTCCTTTTTGCCTCCCTGAGGTGACAAGATGCAAATGAAGAGGAAGCAACAGGAGAATGACGAAAAAGTTTGATCTAGCACCAAAAGGAGGCTATCCACATAAGGAGTGGGAGGAGAGGATGTTCCAGGCTGCTGTAGTGGAAATGGCCATTTCACTGATCACATGAGTCGGGATCATACCAACATACTGGTGTAGTCTTCCCAGCAGGTATTGTATTGACCTTAAGGTCATGAATTGAATTACACAGCACTTAAGGAGTTGGTTTGGACAGTGCCTAGTACTGTAGACAGTTCCTTCTTAAAGCGTCTGTCATCTAAATAGAGGGGGAAATGCAGGCACAGAGAGCGGTGAAGTGATTTCCCCACGGTCCCAGAGCAAGGAATAGAACCCAGGTCTCCTGGCTGCTACTCCAGGTCCATAGCCACTAGACATGCTGCAACTTTCTCCAGTGCAAGCAATGGTAGTAAGGACAGGGAAAGGGTGGGAAAACTGGCTCACTGGAGCTCTCAATGTGAAAGGTACATGGGCGTTAGGGATGTGATTCCCATTCGTTGTAATGAGTTGCACAGCTGCAGCACAGGGCAACTGGGAGGCCATCTTGTAAGGTGCCTGTTAATACCTATATTCAAAGCAGTTCAGGATAATACTGCTGCTTATGGCCAATTCCCCTGTGATGGATATTCACAGAATTCAGTTCTAAATACTGGTTGCCACTCCTTAAATGGAAGTGACTCTCCCCTAAAAATCTTCATTTCCAATGTTCCTATCCCACAGCAGGAGTCTTGATCCATTTCCCTAATTTGTATATCCAGCCCAAAATATTTGATAGATAAGCTTACACTTGAGTTGGCAGAAGACAAAGTACTGTACTAAACTATGGGGTTGGGGGGGGGGAAGACTGTTTGTTTTTCCTCTCTCTTTGATGTTTGCATTTGTATTTCTCATTACTACATACAGTGGAATTTAGAGCAGCCTAGAAATCCTTAGCTAAAATGGATGTTACAGACAT